GCAGCTGCACATATAGCAATCTAAGCCGCAAAACCGCAGGAATCGAGACTGCCAGAACATAGTCCCCGATACCAGCCATTTCCTTCTGAGCATGTGATTAATGGCAACTCTTGAAGCCTGACCATCTCCGTGTCCACTAGTGGGTTGTGTTGAGAAGGTTCGCTGACTTTTCTTCGCACACTGCTGCTAGTTTTACAGAATTCTTTTTCCAGCCAGCACCATGTTTGTTCACGACCAGTCGGTGCAAGGCCGCTCAGAGGTACGGAAGAGTCTGTCTTCATAGCCCAGAACAGCTTGTGAACTCGAACCTCTGAAGTGCGGCGGAACTGGAGCGCCCCACGAAGTGCAGTTTGTACTCATCTGGGTACCACTGAACTGCGACTCCCACGCAGCTCGCTGGAGTTAGCCACCCGGGAGGATTGGTTGAAGGAGCGGTGTGTGTGTGGGAGGTGGAGTGCAGCTGGATGAGGCCGAATAGCTCAAGGAGGCGAGAATCGACGGCGAGTTCCTTCCCGCTTGAGCCCAGGTGATCTTTGCATGTACGGTGGCCGATGGTCATTCTGGTTGCAGGGGTGTGCAGCTGGGTGAGCGCAGCGCAGTGGGCCTGCTTGGATGCTGGTGTTTATCGTGCAGCGATGGCGGCCCATCACTCACCACCTCACAAAGTCACGTAAGTTTTTCACCGTGCAGGTTTTGTGGTTGTTGCGCAGCAAAGAGAGTAAGGGGGAGAGAGGCGGGTTTCGCGCGGCCCAGAGAAAAGTGTAAGCCTAGTTAGTTACTGAAATTGCAACGTTCCCGGATGTGAAGTGCGTGTTTTTGTTTTTCAGGAGTGGCAGCAGTGGCAGTGGTCGGGCGCTGCTCGGTGCTGCTCAGAAGCCGTGGTTCGCATGTGGCGCTGTTGTGAAGGATGTGAAGAAATTCTGTCGCATTTGCCAGTGCTTTGTGGGGAAGTAAGTGCTACTGAGCTGTACACAAAGAGAATTGAGGAGGCGCGTCGGCGTTGGAGCATTTCGAAAATCCGGTGCAATTTGTCTGCGAGCGGTTCCCGCATTTGCTGTTTGCTTCGACCGAATGTTTGAATTTCCGCTTTAAACAGTGTGTTCTTTTTCAACAGAAATCGAGAATGGTTTTTCTGTATCAAATTCACTGTCTAACTTGTTGGCGATACCCAGGATTACTGTTGCTGATTGGCTACTATGTGGCGGACCCTGGATTTTGTTTTTCTTTAGACTTCCATCACTACGCTCCTGCTACCATTCGTGTGTGTGTTTTTTTTTTTTTTTTTTTT